GTTCCTTTTCCTTGATAAATGGGTGACAGTTCTCTCTCACCAATCATTTTTTAACATTTTGATGCATGTCTATGATCCCGCTGGAGGAACAGAAAAGTTTACTGGCCCTCAATTTTCAGATGATGAATGGAACACTCTAAATGTGCGATTTCTGTATGAGGTATAGTTCATTTTAAGCAATTCTAGTAAATGGGTGTCACTGATTAGGACAAATAGTCTACTTGTGCAATAGCACAAATGGTATGTCTCATTCTTCTGGCCTCCTTTGAGACAGAAAAGAAAGGGGACAACAATGACCCTGATAAACCTGGAATTGCTACTGTTTAAAAAAGAGCTATTATATAACATACATTATCCAACACGCTATTGACTTGATGCTACTAAATCATTTCTGTATGTTTAGCATCGCCCTATTAATTAAAAATGTATGTCACGCTGGAAAGCCTCCTTTATAAGGAAAGGCAGGTATCTGGGATCTCTTGCTGTTTGACATTACTGCTTTAAGAAAAATGCGTTTTGCGCTAGAGCAATACATCGGTTAAACACATCAACAGAGGTACTTTCTGGGTTTGGCTCTATGATGCTCACTTTGGATGCCTCAGAAAGACCCATCTTGAAGAAAGGGCAAGAATATTTGTTCTCTCTTGATGTTTTCTCAGCTTGCTAACAACCGATACTGACACAAGGTCTGATCAATAAATACCCAATACTGTAATAACAGCGACTTCAAGTTGCTGCAGGACAACAGCACTTAAAAAAGAAAGGAAAAAAAAAAGAAAGGAAATGCAATATATATGAATTGGAAATGCTGAGGATTTCATTAAAATGAATGAAACTCTACTTTTTTTTTTTTTAAGGCTTTCCAATAAAGTCCCGTATCCATTACATGTGTTTTTAGCATTCCTTTCGCAAAGCCACCAGATTTCGTACTTAAGAGCAATAATTGAATACGTACAAGAAATAATCAGGTGATTTAAATTTAACTAAGGCATTAGCATGGAGTTTAGCATAGTAAAAATAGTATGATTTGTGGGAGGCAATTAACAATCATTTGCTCTGTGGATACAAGTAATTTGTTTAAAGAGCACTGACCTATGAGACAGCTAGTTTGTGTTGGCTGTGATGGAAGGGAGCTATTGACTCTAAACAGTGTAACAGCGCCATTGACAGCAGCCCATTTGAATGCACACAAAAGATCTCGAAAAATACTTGAGGAACACGAGATCTTGCAGAGCGGGGGTTAAGCGAGGGAACCCAGCCAAAGCGGAGGTCCCCGCACCGAGGGAAAACGGAGCCAAACCGAAAAATCTGGACAATGTAGTGACTACAGAGGGCTTCCCCCCCTTGGTGCCGTGCCAGCCGCGGAGCCCGGCCGCCCTTCCTCAACATAAATACTCTATCAGAGGGAACACAAACTGTGAGCGATTGCTGGTTGAGTAATGGTTTCGTAAGCTTAAAATTGAATGCGAGCCTTTGTGCAAAAATAATCATTTTTATGTTCGCATCGAGCAAATGCATTGCAGACCTGGGAATGGTTCCATGTATTCAACATTCACGCTTGCTCCACGTCTGCTCGGGACATGTTTGCAGTCGGACGCCAATACCTTGTACAGCACCCGGGTACGCTCTGCTGCAAACCAAGGGTTGGCTCCTGACAATTTGGGGCATTTCTTTCACCGAGCAAAAGAAGTTATCAAAACACAAGAGCGCGACAGAAACACTGGGGCGCGAGCAGCCGGCGTTCAAAGTTGCGAGTGCCAACTGGCATTCTTCGAAACTATTTCGGTGTACATCGGGGCGGACCACACTTCCTTTATTCGCTGGGAAATCATTATGCAAAATACACGCTCGGAGAAAACAGTAACGCGGTGGCACAAGCACATGGTAAATACGGTGCTGCTGCTCATCTTAAAGTAAACCAACAGAATCTGCGGAGCTTAAAATATGTGCGTAAAGGTGCAATTTTATCTGTAACATAATTTCATTTAGGAGCATACAAATCACAATTTGCCGTAATCAAATAACACTGCAGTGCTTATATTCTAATTAAAAAATAATCTCTGATATTTAATTTAGAAACCTGGAAGACTTTACCAGCAAAATTATGGCTACAACCTGCACAAACCACTCGATTTACTCAGAGAGAGAGAGAATTTTTCAGGCAGCGCTTTTAAAATTATTATGAAACAAGCAAAGAATGCACCGTTCGATATATATTCAAACAAGAATTGTACCCAGTTATTAATTTGCACTATTCACTTTTAAATGCAGCAAATACCTCATTAATTTAATTTTAGGTGCCCACCAGTTTATATTGCATTTTACAGTCTAGAAGGCAATTTACTATTAACTGGCAATTACATACAGAATGATTGTTAATTCTGCTCCTAAGTGCTAGCTGCTTGAAAATTGTTATCTCTCTCTAATTTTTGACCTTCTTACAACAGGGGTGAGCTACACTGGGAATACAAAGGACTAGTAGAGAAGAGCTGGACATGTCATTTGTGACTCATTCTTTTAATTCACCGTGCTAATCAACTGAACTGCCACAATCTCCCAAGGTAATTGTATCTTTATAATAGTTGAAAGCAGCGGGCAAAAAGGCATGGATAGATGGGGAAAGGCCTCGCCTCCGCCTGCTGAGCGCCGGCGCGCTCTTCCTCTCGCGTGAGGCTAATGGGGGCTTGGCAGAAAAATCTGGAACTTTCATATCTGATCATTTAATGTCTCAGCTTCTGGGCTCACAAAGGCTTTGTGCACCATGCTCCACTCTGGTTTCATTACTCCGCAGCCTCGTTGCCCTATGGCCCACCTCATGCTGGGAAGGTTAAATGTTAGAGTGCCAAGCCAGCCTGCAAGCATGGTGGGACACTGATGGGAAACAGATGCCCTGGGGATTCAGCCCTTCCCTCCTCCAGGGCTACATCATTTTTGTTTTCTGAAATGTGGTGTAATTTCCAAAGACTATCTCCATCACCCTATCGCTTCAGGATAAAGCCAAGCGTGCAGAAAGTTTCTCAGTTGGGCAGGCGCTGGCTTTATCTTATTTTCTTATTGCTGGGATAGAGGATTTTGTTTCCCTCAAAAGGTGTTTTAAATATATATTCCCATTAAAGTAGTAATGTAACTTTACTGCAATTTCATCCCAGCAGGAGAAGCTCCTGACACTCTCAGCATCCCTTGGAACATCCTTAGCAATAAGGACAAAAGACAACCCCAGGAAAGTAGAAACGAACAGCTCTTCCTTACAGTTTCATACATATTTGCGTCCACACACTAGCAACAAGTTCAAAACAGCAAGATGTGCCAAATTTTCAAATTCTGCACCTAAGGAATCAGTTAGAGACGTTAGGATAAAGCAAGTGAACATTCCAGGCCCCTGCACCGGGAGCCAGGCCGTCATCTGGTTCGAATCTGCAGCGCTTCCCTGCGTGCACTGGAACCGCACCAGCTCGCAACAGCTACAACGCCTGGATCCTGGGCTTAGGCTTTTAATTCATTCATTTTTTACTTTCCTGAACACTTATCTTAGCTAGTCATACTTGTCAAGAGGCTCTGCTGTGGCTTTTTTGCATGGGTTATGTTCACAATAGCATTTTTCAGCCCATAATCTTGATCGAACACAGCCTCACCTGCGGTTCCCAACCCTGCAACAGCCTACGAAAAAACATTGGCTTTCAAGATAACACCAAAACACCGCAGTCAATACCTTCCCATTCGATAACTCTGCTAAAAACCCAATCAGAAAGGTCAAGAAAATGTAAATATTCTCTCCTTTGTCAGTCAGAAGTGAGGAACTCAGGTGCGAGTGCAAGCATCGGGTTTGCTCAGGTTGGGATTTCTTTGGGGATAGGTGGAAAACAGGAATCTCAGATGCTGCCTTCACCTTAAAGTTCACTTCAGCAACAGATCTTAGGCAGGCAGAGAAACATATCCACCATGCGTTAACTGTGTAAAGAGTCCCAGCTTAAAGCTACCCAGGAACACACTTTTTTCCCATTAGATCTAAGTTAATAGATAGAAACAGTTGCAGTCTAGTGGGAAAATATTCATCAAAATGCACATCATCTGCACATCATCTGCAATCTGCACTATCTACCCAATAAGCAGCGAGAAGTCTCCCCGAATCCCTGCAGTCTGTCGAGTAAACAGTTAAAGGCTCTTTGTTTTCAAAAGAGAGATTGATTCATCAGATCAGATTTATGACCTAGAGTCCTCATCCAAAAGTACGCTTAAATTAAATTGCTATTTGTCCCCTTACCCTCCCAGCACCTCAGTTAAAGTCATTGTTAAATGCCAGAAAACCTGTAATACACATTTTAGATAAAAAGCCAGCAATACTTCATCCCAAAGTAAGACTTTTCATATTAAAACCACTGAAAACCACAAAGTTCCTACTTTGTCTTGCGCTCTTGCAAATTAAAATCGAACGTATGTCACAGAACTGGCGCAAATAAATCATTCCCAGGCTTGTGAGTCTGTATCCCAAGTTTCAGGTCTGAAAGAGTTTTGAGAGCCAGATTGTGAGTAAGGTTGGATAAAGTTATTTGGATCCCACAACAGCTACTTGAACCGGTGCCTAAAACTTCGACTGAACCTTTAGGGAAGTTCAAGAAGTTTGGATAGATGGTCTGAATTTTTGTTTTTTTCATCACTATATACTTTTTAACTCCTTTTTCTGGCTGGAGCAGAGTAGAAAACACCATTATTAAACTATTTCTGGCCAAAATGAAAACCAGAAGTAACAAGCATCTTGTGAGAGAGGTTGATCTCAGGAGACATCGAGACAGTTTTGAGACCCAAGGGGTTCGGATGGGCACCAGAGCTTCTGGGTGCCCATAGGAACAGGTATGTTGAGGTCCAGCTACCACCAGTTACATCTCCTGCAGGACACGTCCTATTTTTGAACAGCATTTTAATGCTCGCGCTTTGCACCGCCTGTATGTCATTAAGAGATGGGAATTACTATCCCAAAAGGAGCAAGGAAACCGTACACTCACCAGTGTAGACGAATCGGCCGGGAGCACCTTTGCAGAACTGTTTGGATTTGTAGGACAGAGTTACTTCAACAACTCCTGGAATGTGCCGTGGCGGTGTTTGAACTCTGATGGCGTGGGGTGTTATCAGCTATAAAAATCGTACAGAAAACATACCTTGAACCAAGATGGCACTGATAAGGCTGATGCCAGCCAGTTCACATAATTACATAAAATTACTTTCAATCATACTCTTTGTCTCAAAATCTTCCCTCTTGCTGTCACATTCGAAGATACGGGTCCTACAAGGATTTTTTTTAAGACAAAGCGCTGTAAATGATCCTCGGTTTTCGTTTGCAGGAAAGGCCACAGGGCATCATTCATATGAAAATTGCCTCCATATGTCTCCTTAAGGCTACTCCTAGTAATTTTAACACTAATTGTCCAATTGTACTGGGAGACCTCCTGCAGCAAGTCTTCCACTAGAGGGCCATGATGTGCCTCAAGTCTATTGCTCTCCGCGTAGTCAATTGTCACATGCGAATTCACGGTTAAAAAGGCGCCGCGCAACAAAATCTCCTGATACCTCACGTCGATAGCCTATTGACAGCTTGTTAAAATCATTCATGGAAAAATGTTACAGTTCAGAGCCCACCAATTTTGATAGCTTACCTCACTCCAGACCAACATCGTTCCAAATACGACTTGCAAGCCATCAAAGAAGTTGTCTCCGATTATGATGACAGTAGCCCCACCAGTAGTCCAGCCTTCACTAGGACTGATGGCCTTTATGCACGGAGTAGCTGCTTGTACAAGACAGAAAATCAAGACCTTAATACCCCTTCTTTCCCGACACCAGATCTCTTCACCAATGACAAACCATGCAAAGCACAATAGGAGGAAAGCGCATGATTTCTCGAGGAGGCATACAAAGGGCAATCATATATCAGCGCGTTGATGTATTTAAAGCAAACTATTAAATGTTTTATAAAGCAAAGGCCAAGCAGCAGAACACTGGTGAGCAAGAAAAAACTGGCTTGATATAGCAAATTATATGTCAGGGCAAATATGGCTATTACAAATGATTAAGCATCGCATGCATGTGGCATGTCGATTTATCTGCTTTGCTGTACAGATCTAAGCAGAGTCAATCAAAAGGTTGTTGAGGGAGATGGAAGAGCAAATGCTCTGAATTTCGATTCCTCATAAGCAGCTAATTGGGTTGGGTTTTTTCATCCGCGAACTTTGCCTTTTGGTTCAAAACTTCATTTTCCTCTGTCACTCCGTAATTACTACTTTTCACTTTTCATCAGGCAAAAATCAAAAGCACTATATTAATACTTTTGTCAAAGGTACACATTTTACATCTAATATTGTTTGTCGACATGAATCCCTGAGCCATTTACTTGACCTCCCTTTGTCTCTAGAGTCTTCACATTTGCATGAGTTATTACAATGGTGCTGGGAAGAGCG